TACACACAGACACAGAAAAAGACGGAGTGAGGGAGGGAAAGAGGGAGAGAGAGAGGGAGGGATGGACAGAGAGTGAGAGAAAGAAAGTGTGTGTGATAGAGAGAGAAAAAAAAGAGAGAGAAAGAAAGAGAAAGGGAGGGAGGGATGAAGAGAGAGAGACATAGAGGGGAGGGGGAGGAGAAAAGAGGGAGAGAGAGAGAGAGAAGGAGGGGGAGGGATGTGTGTATATATATATATATAATATATATATATATATATATATATATATATATATATATATATATATATATATATATAATATATATATATATATATATATATATATATATATATATATATATATATATATATATATATATCCTTCTCCTCCTTCTCTCTCTCTCTCTCTCCCTCTCTTTCTCCCTCCCCCCATATATATTAAACTGGCTGCTGTTATACGTACGTGGAAATTGGCTAATGGCTTATTATTGTTCCATATGTATATGGATATATATATATATATATATATATATATATATATATATATATATATATATATATATATGTATATATATATAAAGATTAGATAAAGATAAAGATAAATATGTAAAGACTAGATAAAGCAAATGTAAACAATTAAGAAAATAAACCATGAACATACCAAATTTATTAATACTTTCATTACAATTTTTTATACAAAATGCACCAGTAAAATCTATATATTGTACCATATATATATATATATATATATATATATATATATATATATATATATATATATACATATATATATACTTTTTTTATCCTCTGAAGACTAAATTATCTGCATGCTTAACGAGTTATTTAATTTCACAATAAATACATAATATATAGAGATATCCATAAGGTTATATTTCATGAATATACACATAGATTCGACTCTCACGATGACAAATATCTGGAAGACTCAAAATATTCTTATCTTACTAAATCTAAACTGCATGTAAAATTGTGTGCTTGCTTCAGTCATGTTTCACACTGACCCTTGGGTGTGATAAAGTACAATCTTCTTAATTTTCGCACCTTATAAGAGATGTTTTATCACTTTTCTTTTCATAATTACGATATTTTCCTCAATTTCTCGGGTATTCGAAATGATAAATATAGTCTGGGCTTTTGTAAAAGAAAGAAAGAAAAATAGCACGTGAGTATACATTTATATATGACCAGGCGTTGTTAACCCGGCCTGGAAGAATATTCTATTTTTCATTCATGTATTTATCTATTGCAATGTAGATAAGGTTCGGAAGAAACGGAGTAGATGTCTTTTTAAATGAAATATGCCAGTTACAAAGAAATGCGTAGTTAATTAAATTTGCATGCTAACCACATGTTGTATCGGATTTATCCACGATTTAATAAATAAGGAAATAGAGAGACAGATAACTAAATAAAGCGCGATACTAAAAATCTTTGGTCACGGGTCCTGTCGACGAACTTGGAAAAAATCATGAAAAAAATGCCGTCGATCTCGAATTCTACAATTTTCCTAATATTTCCCAACAACCCGTACGTCTCGCAGGTGTGTCTCACTCGTCTATTTCATCGTAGTAATTCCACGGCTCTATGTCTGCACGGACGACGAAGATGTAGAGAATCCCCAACAGAAAATAGATGGCGCCACCAAGGAGAAAGGCCGCGCTCCAACCGTTTTCCTGAAAATCGAAAGGGTGGGTCGTCCATTATTTACGGCAGTTTTAAGTAAATAGCAACAAGACAGACTAACAATGATAAAAAAACAAACAATAATAACCACAATAACAAAAAGACACAACACAGATCAACAAATAACGAAAAACAACAATTACAACGACAACAACACGTGTTCCTCACCAGATCCACCAGCAGTTTCGACGTCACTAAAGGCGCCGCGAAGCTGCCGATGTTGCCGATCCCGATAAGTCCCGACAACGTGCCTAGAGCGAAGGAAAAATTATGAGAGTGAGATGAATTGTATTTGAATTGTATTTTTGGAACTGTACTGTATTTGAGATTCATTTATTTAAAGTTTTTTGTTTGTTTGTTTCCTTTGGTTTTCCTATTGATTAATATGCACCTTTGCGAGGTGTGAAAAATCTGATACATACGAAAAAATAGTGCTTTGGTTTTATTTTCCTAATTTCTTAAAATGCATCATAAATACTGTATTCAAGGTAGAGAATAAAAACAAATATATTTCAACAACCCCATGACTGAGCTACGTCCCCAACCATAAACAAAAAAACAAAACAAATAACCAATAAACCGAACAAGGTCAAAGATCATTAACCCCATTCCCCCATCAGAAAAAAAAACGGTCACGTGATCAGGATCCCTATGACCTCACCTGCATAATTCGGCGCCAGGTCCATAGGGGCGAGCTGATAGGTCACCATATTCGTCGAAGTTCCAGCCATGGCAACGACCACGAAAACGGACACGGCCACTACGTCACACTTGGCCAACACGATTCCCATCAGACTGCTGCAGATGAGCACGAACCCTGAGGTTTCCGGGGAAGAGGGTTAGGAATGGTGGATTGGGAATGGATTAGGAATGTTGGTAATGGTGGATTAGGAATAGTGGATTAGGAATGTTGGTAATAGTGGATTAGGAATGTTGATAAAAGTGGATTAGGAATGTTGGTAAAAGTGGATTAGGAATGTTGATAAAAGTGGATTAGGAATCTTGGTAACAGTGGGTTAGGAATGTTGATAAAAGTGGATTAGGAATGTTGATAAAAGTGGATTAGGAATGTTGGTAATGGTAATGGGTAGGAATGTTGATAAAAGTGGATTGTTGTGGATTAGGAAATGTTGGTAAAAGTGGATTAGGAATGTTGGTAAAGTGGATTAGGAATGTTGATAAAAGTTTGAATAATGGAAGGAATGTTGGTATTAGTGGTAACAGTGGTTAGGAATGTTGATAAAAGTGGATGGGTATGGAGGAATGTTGGTAATTAATGGATTAGGAATGTTGGTAATGTGATTAGGAATGTTGGTAATAGTAATTAGAATGTTAAATCAGGAGGAATGTGGGATTAGGAATGGGTGGATTAGGAATGTTGGTAATAGTGGATTAGGAATGTTGGTAACAGTGGATTAGGAATGTTGTAATGGTGGATTAGGAATGTTGGTAATGGTGGATTAGGAAATTGGTTGGGTGGATTAGGAATGTTGGTAATGGGGATTAGGAATGTTGGTAATGTTAGGAATGTTGGTAAAAGTGGATTAGGAATATTGGTAACAGTGGATTAGGAATGTTGGTAATGGTGGATTAGGAATGTTGGTAATAGTGGATTAGGAATCTTGGTAACAGTGGATTAGGAATGTTGGTAATGTGGATTAGGAATGTTGGTAATAGTGGATTAGGAATGTTGGTAAAGTGGATTAGGAATATTGGTAACAGTGGATTAGGAATGTTGGTAATGGTGGATTAGGATGTGGTAATAGTGGATTAGGAATGTTGGTAATGGTGGATTAGGAATGTTGGTAATAGTGGAATTAGGAATATTGGTAACAGTGGATTAGGAATGTTGGTAATAGTGGGGTTAGGAATGTTGATAAAAGTGGATTAGGAATCTGTTGGTTAATATAAAAGTGGATTAGGAATGTTGGTAAGTGGATTAGGAATGTTGGTAATGGGATTGGTATGTTAGGAATGTTGATAAAGTGGATAGGAATCTTGGTAATGTGGATTAGAATGTTGATAAAATAGGAATGTTGGTAATGGTGGATTAGGAATGTTTGGTAATAGTGGATTAGGAATGTTGGTAACAGTGGATTAGGAATGTTGGTAATAGTGGATTAGGAATGTTGGTAAAAGTGGATTAGGAATGTTGGTAAGTGGATTAGGAATGTTGGTAACAGTGGATTAGGAATGTGGTAATGTGGATTAGGAATGTTGGTGGAAGGAATTGGTAATAGTGGATTAGGAATGTTGGTAATGGTGGATTAGGAATGTTGGTAATAGTGGATTAGGAATGTGGTATGGATTAGGAATATTGGTAACAGTGGTTAGGAAAATGTTGGTAATGTGGATTAGGAATGTTGGTAATAGTGGATTAGGAATGTGGTTGGATTAGGAATGTTGGTAATGTGGATTAGGAATGTTGTAATAGTGGATTAGGGTAATGGTGGATTAGGAATGTTGGTATTGGTAACAGTGGATTAGGAATGTTGGTAAAGTGTGGATTAAGGAATAATTGGTAACAGTGGATTAGGAATGTTGTAATGTGGATTAGGAATGTTGGTAATCGTGGATTAGGAATGTTGGGTAGGTGATTAGGAATGTTGGTAATAGTGGATTAGAAATGTGGTAAGTGGATTAGGAATATTGGTAACAGTGGAACTTGGTAAAGTGGATTAGGAATGTTGGTAATGTGGATTAGGAATGTTGGGTAATGTGGATTAGGAATGTTTGGTAAAAGTGGATTAGGAATATTGGTAACAGTGGATTAGGAATGTTGGTAATGGTGGATTAGGAATGTTGGTAATGTGGATTAGGAATGTTGGTAATAGTGGATTAGGAATGTTTGGTAATAGTGGATTAGGAATGTTGGTAATGTGATTAGGAATTTGGTAACAGTGGATTGGAATGTTGGTAAAATTAGGAATGTTGGTATTTAGGAATGTTGGTAATATTAGGAATGTGGTAATGGAATGTTGGTAATGGTGGGAATGTTGGTAATGTGGATTAGGAATGTTGGTAAAAGTGGATTAGGAATTTGGTAAAGTGGATTAGGAATGTTGGTAAATTAGGAATGTTTGGTAATGGTGGATTGGAATGTTGGTAAAGTGGATTAGGAATGTTGGTAAAGTGGATTAGGAAATGTTTAATGGATTAGGAAAATTATTAGGAATATTGGTAAAAATTAGGAATGTTGGTAAAGTATTAGGAATCCAAAAGTGTATTAGGAATTGTTTCAGATTTTTAATGTGGATTAGGAATGTTGGTAATCCCTTTCTTCAGTGGATTCCTTTTTGGTCTGGATTAGGAATGTTGTCCTGTTGGTAATCCCAGTGGATTACAGATTTTAGTGGAGAGAATTTCCCTTTTTTTTCTTTCTTTCTTTCTTTCTTTTTTATCTGTAATGGTCAGATTTTTGTCTGATTGCCTGATTCATAACCAGTTCATTATCTAGTGTAGATACGTGTTATACACCAGTAAACTTATTGATGATACTGTACATATTATTCCCTGTGTATGTACTATTACATAGCTTATGTAACCGTTATATACTAATTCTTTATACCACGTATCCCTGTGCTCCCTTGGCGACGACAGTGACGTCACGCCAGTTCCTTCGAGATGTGCGGACAATCTCCGCACGCCTCTTCCTTCTATCCATTTAATATAGCCTCTAAAGTGAAAACAGCCTTTCAATAGAACCTAGAACTATCATTCGGACATGACCATACATGGCGCAGCGAGTATTTTCGTAAAGCTGAACGAGAAAGGCTAAATAACGAAGAAAAAGACTGGCAACCGGTTCCCTGCTTCCTCAACCGACGCCATCCCCGGCGATTTCAACCCAGTGACAGTGTTGTGCAGTGTAACGCGAATTTACGAGTGTTTAGTGCAGTGACAGTGTGGGTGCAGTGTTTTCGGTGCATTTATTCATGTATTGGGTCCGTAGTGCGCTTTCTAGCGGCCGGCCACAGACTGCACCTTTCTACAGGCTCCTCATCTGGCGACGTCTCGAGAGATACTGCCGTTCTCGGTGCGCGGAAGCCATTAAACCCCGCCCCCACCGGAGTAACAGACATGCTCGCGCGCTCCCTCCACACATTGACGCACTGTGAAACTCTACAAATTGTATGAAGCTGAGCCATGCTTGTTTTATCAGTTTGCATACAGCTTCGTGAAGAATAATGTCTTCTTCAAGACGATCTCCTGAGCGCGCAGACACCCCACATGGTGACCAAGAAACGGACGGAGCAGTTGGGCCACTCCCGGACCACCCAGACGGCCACGATGGACAGTCCTCCCGAACCGCAACCCCGCCACAACAAGCTCTCGATCTCCCCTCAGTTCACACGCCTCACCTCATACCCTCAGATTTTCTTCACTTCATAAAGTACCTCGAGGAGTCATGAATCTCTTCTGAGAACCGCAGATGGGTAGAAGAGGAAGAAAGGCGATCCCGTGAGGAAGAAAGAAGACTATTGAAGGAAGAAAGAAGACGCCAGGAGCGACTTCAAGAACAGGAGCAGAGACGACAAGAGGAAGAAAGAAGACGTCAGGAGAGGCAACAAGAAGAACAAAGACGTCAGGAGAGGCAACAAGAAGAACAAAGACAGGAGGCAGAAAGAAGACAGGAGGAAGAAACACGATGAAAGGAAGATGCTGAACGCTTTGCAGCCCTAATGAAGTTGTTAGCACCACAACCCACACCTCAGCACAACCCTGCTGCACCCGACTTCACTCCTGCCATACCCACCTCCGAGGCCTCACCTGCCATTACTTCTACCGCTGCCTCATCAGTCATTACTTCCCCTGCCGTCACAGATATATCAAGTGCCTCACCAGTGACGCATCCTGCCAGCAAGACCGTCGCCCACAGACCGCCCACTTTACGTGCTGACGATACATTCCAAACGTTTCGCCAGTGGCGCCATAGCTGGGACGACTACGCCACTATGGTTGATCTGCAGAAGCTGGCCAGAGAAAAACAGCTAATCCAGCTGAGGATGTCTGTGTCCCTCGATGTGCAACGGACCCTTTAACATACCTTGGGGATTGCACACGACACATCACTGACAGTTGACGAGGTACTCGACGAGCTCCAGAAGCACTTTAAGAACCAGCGCAACGAAGCTCTACGCCGACGAGAACTTCTATGCTGCAAGCAGAAGGAAGGAGAAACATTTTCTGACTTCTACGAAAGACTGAAGGACTTAGCCGAGGAAGTGGACTTGTGCTCAGACGATCCAGTTACTTGTGCGGAGGCACAGCTCAAGATGATCCTGTTGATGGGAGTCAAGGATGAAGAGCTCATGCAACGCCTCATCTCCACGCACGCAGATGCATCACTACAAGAGATGGCTACCTGCTGCCGATCGTTCGAGCCCACCGAGGATGCTGCAGCAGCCATCCACTCATCCCCAAGTCAACTGTGTGCTGTTTCAAGCTACAAGAGGAAACGGCGAGACAAGACGACCCGCTCCTCACCTCTACGAAGTCAGAACAAGCCTTCATCACCCAACGCTGATTCCTGCCGTTCATGTAACCGACGTCACGACACCGGAAAATGCCCCGCCAAAGAAGCCATCTGTATGAATTGCGGACACGGGACACTGGCCCCGGACTGCTAGGTGTCCTGCCAAGGATGTCACGTGCAACTCATGTCACAAGATGGGACACTTCGCCAAGGTGTGCCGATCTGGAAAGTCGGATTACAGTAAAGGACCAGCGTCACATCCAAAGTATAAGAACTGTTGATGTGTATCAGCAGACAGCAAGACCCCACAGCCCGTATGTATTCTTCTCACCTATGGCCAG